TGATTTTAAAATCAGAACTCTTACCAGCTTACCACCCTTGAACTCCGAGGATGGAACCTGGGACTGATGGGGCGCCCCTGATTTTAAGATCGGAACTCTTACCACTCCTGATCTCCGAGGAAGGACCCTGAATCTGATGGGGCGCCCCTGATTTTAAGATCAGAACTCTTACTTACTACCCTTGAACTCCGAGGATGGAGCCCGGGACTGATGGGGCGCCCCTAATTTTTTAAACAGAACGCTTACCACTCCTGATCTCCGAGGAAGGAGCCTTGGACTGATGGGGCGCCCCTGATTTTAAAATCAGAACTCTCACCATCCATGAACTCCGAGGATGGATGGAGGCACGGTGTATCGGTGTACCGGTGCGGGCAGGGAGGGTGGCAGGGTATTTCGGTGTATCGCCAATCTGAAGGGACAAGTATGCCGAAACGCGGATCCAAGAGGCAAATACGCCGATACGCCGATCCGGGCAAGGAGGATGGTACGGTGTATCGGTGTATCGGTGCGGGCAGGGAAGGTGGCAGGGTATGTCGGTGTATCAGTGTATCGCCGATGTGAGGGGAAAAGTACGCCGACACGCCGGTCCATGAGGCAAATACGCCGATACGCCGATACGCCGATCCGGGCAGGAAATACGCCGATACGCCGGTACGCCGGTACACCGATACGCCGATGTGAGGGGAAAAGTACGCCGACACGCCGATCCACGAGGCAAATACGCCGATACGCCGACCCGGGCAGGAAATACGCCGATACGCCGATACGCCGGTACGCCGGTACGCCGATACGCCGCTCCGGGCAGGGAGGGTATATCGGTGTATCGGTGTATCGGTGCGGAGCTGTTTACGCGACGTGGTCTGCGGGCTCTCTGCTGCATTCGCATCTTCATGACAATGAAGGTGGGCTTCCAGAGATCACACGTTCAGCCACGTTCAGCTTGCAACTTTCCTGCTGACCCACACACTTGCACCCACCCGGCCCACTCTCTCGAGGACCCGAAGCATTGTGCCATGCGACTCGATCTACTACTTCCCTCTCGAAGCCAGCATCGACCCAGTGAGTTCAGGAAGCCTGCGTTGTGCTAGCGCGAGCTAAAACAGCCGCGATGCCAGCACAGGCTGGATCACTCGCTCGAACGATTTCGGATGCGATCAAAATCTGAAGAAAGTCCAAGGGGGTGGAACAGTGTCATGCACGGGCCGGGATTTCGGGCTGACATGAGGGAAGCACATGTGCTCCAGAAAAAGGTGATGCCAGCAGAATTCGACTCTCCACGTTTAGACTGAATCCTCAACAGGCTGGTACGTCTGGCTGGAAGCCATGCTGTCATTTATGGAAAGCCTGATCCAAAGGAAATACAACTTGTCTCATTGGGCACGACGGGTCAGAGGAGATTCCCCTGCTTACTACGAAAACGGGCGTCAATGCGACAAGTGCACTTGGCGATTCTAGAGATTCTAGAGCAGGAACCAGATCACGTACCCGCAGCTGGGTATATCCACTTCGGCACAAGTGCCCGCACTTGCAGACGAGAAGCCCATCCACATCGCTTGCCCTGGCTCAGATATGCTTGAATGAACGAATTCAGATGAAGTGTACAAAGGTATAAGGTGCAGCCCGAGCACCTCGGCTTTGCTGGCTGCGACTCGAGCTGCAATGGCATCCCCTTTCTCTTGACGCCATCGCCTGAGCTTCTAACGTGCAGCGATTGTCCCATCGTCCCCCTCCACCTGCACTCTGGGTGGCCAGCTCGCGTGATCTGCTGCGGCCCCTCTCCTTTTCCACATCCTGATGAAACTTCACGCATGCCGATCAAGCTGAAGACGGAACAGCAGTGCAAAGACATGCGCATTATCTTTCCTCCTGCTCCTTTTTGGGCAGCAAGGAAGGATCAACGCACACTGTCCTGGCACGCAGAAGCAGTCTCAACAAATGAAACCGTCTCATGTCATGCCGGCGGCCGACGCGGTGAAATCCTCTTGCCTGGTGCAGTGCCAGTATTAAGGACTTCACCGCGACACAACCTTGATGCATGCCAGCAGAAGCACGTAGCAGACGTAGCAGCATCTGCCGGCTTTAGCCCAACAGCCGCCATCTCATTGGCCACAGCCTGCAGCCATCATTGCAATTGCAATCATAAAAGCCGAAACAACACTATTCTCAAAGCCTGCGCATTCGCTTCGACCTCTTGTTCATCACCATCCTCATCTTCCTCCTCCTCAAGCGCTTTCGGTATTCCTTGCAAGTCGAGCTTCGGTCCCTTTTGCAGCTGCCACAAACAGCAGCATCCATAAGCGACGTGCTTTTTGGTGCGACGTCCTCCACAACCTGAAAAAAACATGCGCAAACTGTTGGATCAAATAGTGCTGTATAGAACCTCAGCAAATGGTGCTTGCTCAGCCTGTTCATCCGCTCCGACCATCGGCCTCCACATTCTCTGGTTTCAGCTTCACGAAGCGGCCCTCCAGGCTCACCTCTTGGCGTTAGATGGGCAAGGCAGGTGCGCAATCCTTTGGGGGGGTGCCATGGGGTGCCGAAGCAAGCACCCATTAAACATGTTGCAGCTGTTGCATGCTTGCATCGCGTGTGTAAGAGTCTGGTTTATGGCCAAGAGCTGTGAGTTATCCTGCTGAGCCGACGCTTCGTCTCTAGCTCCGCCTGAACCGCGCGCCTGGCTCGAACCCACGACCCTGAAGGCATCTGAGTTGCACTGCCCCCATCGTGGTTTGGGATGGTGGTCGAGGGTCAGGCACGGCAGGTATCTGCAGGCTAAGGTATCGCTGATTTGGGTGACCGCTGCAGGATGCAAGTCTCGTCCCCAAGCTACGTGGGTGTTGGTTGCTTTCTGCTGTCAAGATCGTCTTTGCCGCTGTCGTCTCATTGTAGGCTCGGGTCAGCAGCTACGGGAGCTATGATGATTGTTCAAGAGTTTGTTGGGAAATTCGTTGAGCTGCTGAATCAAAGCGATCCTTACACATCCTGAGCATCCAAGACTGCCAGGAACACAATTTAGTATGTCGATCTAGTCTTCCTGGATGATTGAAGTGCAAAGCACGGTGGCCTGGTACTTTTGTTGATCATCGACATAGCCTAGACGAAGCTTGCACTGCACCGGGCACTGTTGGAATGCATCTTCAACATATGCCGCATCGTCATGCAAGGCTGCGTACGAACAATGGTGGCTCTTTTGCCATTGTTCTCTGGCTTGGACACCAAGCCTTTCAGGACGACAGCACCTTAAAGGGCAAGGCTGGCAGGTCCAACAAAAATCGAAGCTCTCGGAGCCAGGCATCCCTCCCTCAAAAGGAATGACGGACCGGCGACTGGAGCCTGCATAGTTTCTGTCCGATTCTATCTACCCTTCAACCCAGAAAATTGTGGTTTTCTGTATCCTTTCGGGTCCTCCATGGCCGCAGGGCCCTCGGAGGTCTCGCCCGAGTCTTCCTTGAGGCTGGCTGCTTTGGCCAGCTCGTCTGCCTGCTTCCTGGCACCAGCATGTCGAACTCAAGGCGGTTGGTTCATGTTGGCACCTGCCTTATCGCTGCAGCTACTTCTGGTGCCAGCTTTCCAGGTGCAATAGCCACCTGCATGACCAGCGGCACGCAGGACGGCCCTCAGCCCTTTTGCAGTGACGCCCGAGCCTCGTTCAAAGCTTTCGCATTCGAAGGAGTCTTGAACGAGAGATGCTGTGGAACCTGCGCAAAAAACGCTTTGAACGACGACCACAAGCCAAAGCAACACAGTTCAAACTGATTCCTCTTAGATCTTCTTGACCAGTCGGCTTCTTCTCTGTCTTCTCTGTGCGTGACTTCTGCCGCCGCTGAGATCCTCGCCTTTGGGAGAAGCTCCGAGACGGGCTTGGCTTTTCTGCACAGCGAGGCCACCACCTGCGCATGAAGACCACCAGCTCGGCGCGGCCCCGAAGGTTCCCAGTTCGTCACATCTTCCAGGTTCAGACACTGGCAACACTGCCCGGGTTGCAGCAGCTGCTGGTGCCAGAGCGCCACCCAAACCAATAGAGGTAAAACTTAAAGTGAGCTGCGACTTCACGGGTGGGCCGCAGGACAGGGGGAAACACTTCGTAATGCTGTGTCAAGCTTCTCGTCATTGCAATTCCTTGCAGTCATGAAAATGATGACAAAACAATCGAGCTGAAGTCTGGACTTGCTGGAGATTTCGGGGATGTCTGCTTGCCGGACAAGTCCAAGGAACGGCTGCCGCTGTTTTTGTCTTGGAAAAGGGGGGCTTCGCGGTTGACAATCGAAAAGTGCAGCCTTCGGGAGGCAAGGAGCCGCAACATCGTCTTTTCATGATCAGCAGTCCCGTGGCATCTAGATGTGCGAGTTCATAGACCTGCATTGCACCACAACATCCTAGCCTTCCGCCCCATAAAGTAGCTCTTCTGCATGACGGATGCCAGCTTCATAGCATCCTGCAGCACTCAGGGATGCCGGAACTATGCAGCTGCAGGTAGTTGTGTCTGACCGCACTGCGACGCCATACACACTTGTGCCATCACGATTGCCTGCAATCACAGCCACTGGCAGTGGAGAAGGATGCCCACCTAGTTTGCCCGGGCTAGGTTTTTTCCCAGCTCACAGAAATGTCGCCCGCCGAAATCTCTCGGAGAAGTGTGTCGACCCACTTCACCCCGTCCTTTCAACCTTTGCATCGCAAGGGCTGGACTGAATGTTCCGTATTGTTCCGTCCCTTTGTTCGCTCTTGAACTGTCATCGGCACAAGCAGGGCAAAAGCCCGGACATTAAAGCACATATGCATATATGCAACAACACATCTGTACACATATACATATATACATGTATACATGCCTACCTATATGCATGTATCATACATGCATACATATATACATACATACATACATACATACATACATACATACATACATACATATATACACATAGAACTAGTATATATATGTATGCACTACATATATATATATATATGTACACATATGTACATATACATACTCATACTTATATACAGAAACAACATGTATATATATATATACACGCGTACCTAAAATACATATGGGTATATACATCTCTATATACATATACAAACATATGCTTCTATGTGTATAATGTTGGTATGTCTAAGACTACAATACTATAGCTAATGCAGCATGTTATAATTTAACATTGCACAATACAGTAAAACACACTTTGATGGGAATTTAATCTCACGTAGTATAACATGACATAATATGATAAGCCGGAATAGATCAGTCTAGTGACTAGAACAGAAGCAACATCATTCATATATTATTCCATAATATAGTACACAATATTAGAATGCAGCTTTTGTAATATTTGTAATATATGTGTATAAACATATACATATATATGCATATATATATATATAGAACGCGCCGCCTGGTGGAAACACATGAGACATACAAAATATATGAAAAATAGAAAACATATTGTATATACATATATAAATATATATCTACACATATATGAATATTACATAACAGATATGTGATGCATATATATATATATATATACAACATGTATGTATGATAAAGGTGTGTGGGTGGGTGTATATATAACATATAACATATGAAATATATGAGTGCCGAGGAAATCCGCAAACAGTATGGACGCAAAGATACCGCTGCAATACAGAGTTTGTTATGGTGTCCTGCCAATGGATCAATTGCTCAATTTGTAGGGCTGAAAAACATTCAAAAATGCATCTAAAGCCAATAAACTACTTGTCACTCAGACATCTGTCGGCCCACCACTGCAGGTTCAACTCGCTTCAAACTTGAGCCACCTCCGTTCCAAAACCGGTTAAGCCACCTGCAAGCCAAATTAAGACATTTTCGGCGTGATTTTCGGGTTTCGATTCGCGCACTCGCTCAGGGCAGGCACGGCTTCCAAACAAGTTTTGGACTTAGAGCATCTCACTACTACATTTATGGGTATAGGGACGGCATTGGGCTCCGGATTTGTTGAAACCAGGTCCAAATGCGTTTAGCAGGCGTTGGAAAATGGATATTTGGGTTTGGGGAGCTCGATTTGCGTTCTGGGACTGGGGCAGGAATCAGCAATGCTGAACTCCAAAATGCCTGTTTCAAAGTTTGGAAAACGCATGTAAAGCTGTTTCAGCTCTACTGGTGCCCCTGGCCGCTCCCGATGCTCTAATTGGGCTCTCGAAGCCGCCGACCATGCCCAAATGCATCTTCCCAGGCCTGCTAATCATTTTCGGTGCGAATGTCAGGCCTTGGAAAATGGATTTGGGCTTGATCGGAGGCTTCGGGAGCTCGATTTGGGTTCGGGGACTGGGGCAGGAACTAAATACGTTTTCCCAGCCTTGAAAAAGCCTGTTTCTGGCCATGGAAAACAAACTGCAGCATCTGCAGGACGATTTTCGGTTTGGGGACGGCATTGGGCTCCAGATTTGTTGAAACGAAGGCCAAACGCGTTTAGCAAGGTTTGGAAAATGCATTTGGGCTTGGTCGGGTGCTTCGAGGGCTCAATTGAAGCCTCGCCAGTGGGGCCAGGGGCACCAGCAAAGCTGAAACAGGTCTGAAGGCGTTTTCCACGCTTTGAAAAATTCATCTTGGAACCTGGGCATTTTCGGTGCGATTTTCGGGTGCAGGAACGGCATTAAACTCCAGATTTGTTGAAACCAAGGCCAAACCAAGGCAAATGCGTTTAGCAGGCCTTGGCAAATGCATTTGAGCTTGCTTGGTTGGAGGCTTCGGGAGCTCGATTTGACTTCGGAGATTTGAGCCAGGAACGCCAGCAAAGCTGAAACAGCTTTACATGCTTCTCCAAGATTGAATAATGCCTTGCTTGTGGAGCCGTGGAAACCAAATGAAACCATTTACAGTACGATTTTCGGTTTTGGAGACGGCATTGGGCTCACGATTTGTTGAAACAAAGGCCAGATACATTTAGCAAGCGTTGGAAAATGCATGTGGGTTTGGTCCGGGGCTTCGATGGCTCAATTAAAACCTCGGGAGTGGGGTCAAAGGCATAAGCAAACCATGTATATATGACTGTATGCATATATGTACCTAACATGTAATATGCTTGAAATATTGCGTATTTAATATTCTTTACATATACCTGATGTCTAGCAAATGATTTCTAATGATGTATACAATATACTTTGCATTTATATACATAATATATACTATATACAAAGAACGGTATTTCCACCACAGACCTACCTCCAAAACCTGCTTGCATCAGACTGCCCTGAACTATACACGATTCTGTACACCCTGTACATATACTTACATATACTTGTACATATTAGTGCGCTTTAATATGTTTTACTCTATGCGTGAGCATGTCTTGTGCTTATCAACGGACAGCTGCATTGAAACCGGCACTGAAAATTGAACTTCAAAGCACCCAGGCCCGTGGAACCAAGAACCAAGATGCGCACTTTTGAATCTTGGATCTACATGCATGGATGTATGGATGTATGTATGTATGTCAATGTATCTATGTATGCATGAATATTCACGACCAGCTGACGCCTCTGTCCTGCGCACCTTTACACCAGATTGTGGCTTGGCCTTCAGAGGGCTCCACCTGATGCTAACTTTGAAGCGGCATGCCACCCCAGGCTGAATTGGCATCAGCGCCTTCACGAACGGCTCTTTGATGTGTTCGCCGACGTGCTTGCGAATCACCTCCTGTATATCCATGAACCAAGACATAGGCGTCGAGGAAGTGTACCTACCCAGCATCAAAACCTAAGCCTCATGGCTGTACTGACTGCTGCTTGCTGACCAGGATGCTCCCAAAGGTTTCCAATTTCAACGCAAGGAAATTTCTTTGCACGATCCTGGCCAAATCGACGCATCGAGACTGCACGAGATTTCTCAAGTGGTCCAGAGAGAGCCCAGTTCACGTCAAGTTCCACGCGAGCTGAAAGTCTCGAGGCAGAGCCAGACCAAGTGATTTCACGTCCTGCCTTGACGTTGAAACCCTCCTTCTGCCAAACTGCTGCCTGCGGCAGTGAGGTCTGATGGGACTGCGCGATTCTGTAAACGCAGATCTCCGAACCGCATTTAATCTGGACCGGAGTGGCTCCGAACACAACACGTTCACAGAAACCGAGACGAAAACACTGAACCCTCCAGAAATCCAAGATGAAACTTTCAGGCACGAGCTCACATGTCCGTGAAGGGGCGACCTAGGGCCTGGCCAGAAACCTCCACTCGTCAGCCCCCGCGCCAGTCCGCCAGCGCCCTTCAACCCACCCCCTCCTTTGGCGATCAACCGGCGCCAAAAGGGGGGTGGGCTTGAGATAATATGTGGTCAACCATCGCCACATGAAGGGGCGGTCTCAAGATCTGTGATCAACCGGGATCGCCGCATGAGGGGGCGGGTTTCCGAAATGCGATCAACCGGCATCGCCAACCGAGGGGTGGGTTTACAGGAAATGTAATCAACCTGGATCGCGAAATGACAGGGCGGGCTTATGATCAACCTGGATCGCCAAATGAGGGGGCGGGTTTAAGATATGTGATCAACCCGGATCGCCTAGTGAGAGGTGGGTTTAAGCTATGCGTTGAATCTGAATCGTTTAAGATATGTGAAAAACCTGCATTGAGGGTGTGTTGAAAAAAAAACGTTGTCAAACAGGATCGACGAATGAGGTGGCGGGTTTAAGAATTGTCATGAACCGGGATCGCAGAATGATGCTGCTTGAGTTAAGTGGCGAAACGGGATCTCCAAGAGGGGGTCCGGTTAAAAAATGTGATGAATCAGGATCGTCAAACGAGGAACAAACATCAATCGACGATGAGTTTGATCACATATCTTGAACTCGCTGCCTCCTTTGGCGACCCGGCTCACTACATATCCTAAACCTGCCCCTTCATACGGCAGCCCACTCACATCTCTTAAACTCGGCCCCTCCTCTAGATTCATCACATATCTTAAGCATGCCCCCTCATTTGGCGATCCCGGTTGATC